TCATACACATTCACACACACATATTCACAGACATATTCACATACACATTTTCAAATACACATATTCACAAATATCATTGCAACCTTTGTTATATTTGTTGAATTGTTTATGTATATTCTCATATAGGTAATAACAATGACTGAAAACTAATATTTTGTATAATAAAAATCTCATATGTAACTGAAGACTAATATTTTAGAAAACTAATATTCTATATATAAAAAAAATTGTTTCACTTTACCAATCTGCATTATTTCTGTTTAGTAACCCATTACACCTCACTAGCTTTTATGTTTTTACATTCCCAATTTGGTTTCATATCTTTGCCTGAATTTGTCTAGCTGAATTTGAGCTACATAACTCAAGTATGAAAGGACAAATACCAGGAAACTCATTTTTACTTTTAGCAGTTTCCATCATTTGCTTCATAAGAATGTTTCTGTAACTTTGGGGTGTTGTCAGCAATTTTGGGTACAAATGTAACCCAGTTGAGAAACCAAGAAAATTGGGTAAAAATTCAACAGCTTCATCTTGAATGCTTGGCTGTTTTCTTGAGGTGCAACAAATTCTGGATTCTTCTCATTTATGCCCCTTTTATCACAATGCTTTCCCATAAGACCTTTGATTTCTAGCACATTTATTTGTTTAAAACATTAAACATTCTTCTCAATTATTTCTCTGTATGTTTTATAGCACATTAGCTTATTTTAAGACAAATTCAAATTATATGTGACAATTACCCACTGTTTTCAACTTTTGGTTGAGGTACGTACTCTCCATCTGTATGCTCGCATTTTTAAGAATGGATTCTGTTTTCTTACCAATGCTGTCTAGGTGTTCTTAGCAAATCTCGAAGTATTTCTGATATTAAGGAAAATGTATCTAAACAGGCATCTTGACTTCCAGCAAATGTCACATGGAAGTTGCAACCAAGCTTGAGGCTGAGGATTGTTCCTGAAGTATTTTTAAACTTCTAATACTGAATTGAGTGCTTTTTTATGGGACACTTTCTATAGAATAGAAGTAATGAGTAGCACAGCCCTGCACTACTAAATCACATCTGCCTTTGTTCTTTGTTCCTTCCCCCTTTTGAATAATTTCATGAGATTGTTTCTGGCAACAGCCAGCTTCCTTTCACTATGTGAACAGAATGTGATAGTATAGAAAATAATTAGATACATGGTAGAGGTATGTCTCTCAGATTGGTAAGTGGAGTAATTTACAGTACTTTGACAGAGTGAGAAATAAAGAGTAAAGGAAATTGTGTAGTTGAGAAGAGCTCTGGAGTGACAACAAGGCAACAGAATGAATGAATGAGTGAGTAATAACAAATGCTGCACAAGGTGTATTTATGCAAGGGTGTATGATTACAGTGGAAGGGACAGATCAAGAAATAGATAGATGGATGGAGGACATGAACATATCATAATGATGAAAAACATGGTAGAAGGGCAACTAGTGATGAATGACTAAATATGCCCAAATGATAGTTTGCAATATACAAAATATGGCAAGATTTTCCTTACATCTGTGTGTTTCTTCCCAGTACCTTTTCTGCCAGTGAAGATAATATTCTGCTGCTGTCTTTTCTGACCCATTGTCAACTGAGCAACTGATGAAATTGTTGGTGCCATTGTGGATGTTGGACCAGCCATCTTTTATGAGTATAACACTGTCTCCCATTCAGAAGCCAGTTTAATCTCACACATTACTTACTTCATCCAAGAGATAACCAGCAGTCTCTCATGTTTAGAGATTTGTAAGTTCCTTCCCATAACGAGTGGATGATTCTCAACATGTACTTGTTTTTGGCAGCCCTAAAAGGAACATTACAAGTATAAAACATTTGTGCAAACTGTGGGGCTAGTCATTTCTTTTCGTACATTTTCTATAACAGAGAGCCAGAAGAACATGAGTCGCCAGAATTACATGTACAGTTGCGGAATTATATTTCAGTACACTTTCTGGGTCCCACTTTTGTACCTCTGGCAACAAGTCGAAGTAAACATAGCGTAAATAGTATTTTTGTGAATGAGGTTAAAACCCTAGGTAGTTTGTAACAAAGAATGTGATTGGTCAAAAATAAGTAACCAATAAGTGTATTAATGAATATCTTTAAAAATAAGTAAGCCATTTGATCTTTCGCTTTCTTCTAATAAGAGATAAAGAATAAAGCATATTAATTATCGTTGACTTTGTAGTTGGATATTCTTCAAATGCGATATCCTGGAATTGTTTGCTTATCCAAATGGCAACATCTATGATAGGGAGGCGGCATTTCCTAATCCTTACAGCATAAGAAGTATCTTTTATTGATACATATTTCTTAAAACATGAAAAAGTTTCATGCGTTGAACATTTATGTATGGTAACTAAATTGCCTAAAACTGTAAAATCCCTGAGACCTCTGTAAATACCGTTGATGCTTGCACCATCTAGTAATCAACCTAATGAAATTTTTTTTATCTTTATGTCTGAATCAAACACATATTGAATAAACAGAAACCGTGCTAAATTAGATTTTTCAATACAGAGCATGAACAAAATCACAGTTAGGTTACACTGAATATGAAGATTCGTTATTGATGTGTGTGTGTGTGTCATCTATGGAAATATGAAGTCATGCTTGGTAATGAGTTACGAGAGTGTATAATCAGCTATTATTATGCACTGAGTCTTGGCATTGAGGAGTTCATCCACATTCGAAGAGGTGAGCGAGAAAATGCATGTTTGCTTGTTTCAACTCAAGCAGCTATTAGCTGGGTGGTTCCAAGGAGGGTGAATAGCAAAAATCTTAGAACCAACTCTCAATATTTGTGTTGTATATCTTGTTCATTCTAATGAAATGGGAATTTCTCGGTCAGTTATTGTCATCTATCCATTTTATTTCTATTTGCCAGTACAATATAGTGCAATATATGCGTAGGTGTAGATGATATTAGCATATCAAACCTTTACATCAAATTCATTTTCTTTATACATTATCCTAGAAGTAATAATTTCAAGTGTAGAAAATAACACGGTCGTATATTTCATATCTTTTATGACAATGAATATTCATCAATTCCTGAATATCCACTTGCTTGAAAAAAATACATGTCCGATGGTCTTAGACGTCATAATAACATGAGAAATCCGAGATCAAAACGAGGACGAGGTGCCAAGCTGACACTTTTTTCAGGATGGACGCAAAGAAAGCTGTAATCTGAAATATACTGCTACATTGGGGCGGTATAGCTCAGTGGTAGAGCGCTGGCTGTGCAATCGCATGGTCCTGGGTTCGGGGCCAGTTTGCCCCTCTCAGTCGACTCAGCTGTGAATGAGCACTGTTATGCTGACGTCAGCATGCTAGGGTCAAAGTCGGGGCAGAAAGGAACAGGTCACCCTGCCGCATCACCCCGCGGCTTAGTAAGCACGTTTCTCTACAAAACGTGCCCCTTACGTCCAGATGGATATGAGACCAACTTTGACTTTTGACAATGGGGCGAGAGAAAGTAACTTCTCCAACGGTGATATATTCAGAGAGCTGGGCATCTCCCGGACGATGGCGTACAGGCAGATAGGGGGGAAGAGGAGGGCACCCATGACGAGGAAAATACACCGGGAATACTCGGAAAGCTCCATTGCTGAAGGGAATTTCAGAAATCAATTTTATTTCAGAAATCAATTTATTTTAATTTACTGTATGGTTTGTTTATACAAAACAGTGCCCTCCTACACGTCATATTTCATGTTCAGATTCTATATCATTATTTACATTTCACATATGACAGACAAATTATCAATAAAGCGTAACCTGCGATATGTGGGGTTGGATCTCCCTACATGATGTTGGCGAAACGGGGAAAAGGCTTCTGAGACATATATATCGAATTGTTAGAAAAAAAATCCTCCCATCAGTACACTGTTATGCCTTGGCCCTTCCCAGAAACAATGAGGATAACTGCCCAATACACACGTCCAGGGTAGTTACGAAGTAGTTCCCTGCCTAACACCACGTGGAAGTTCTTCGATGGTCAAGCGAGGGATGTCGCTCAAACCTGACGAAAAATGTTTGGCCGAATATTGTCACTGTTTGAGAAACGGCAAATGAAACAACCTCCAACCAGCTGATAGAAATCGAGACGTTACATGTAAACACGTCACCTCTGTCTCAGGGATTAGACCGTTTGAATAACAAAACATATTTCCTATTATAAGCATTACTGTTTGTCTTCCCTTTCTACAGTTATTACCATTTTTAGTAAAAGTATCTCCAAAATTAATAAACATCCCCAATTAGTCGATTCACTGATGCCCCATCATCTATGAAAAATTAAAAATAAATAATTAAATATATATATAATATATATATATATATATATATATATATATATATATATATATATATATGTGTGTGTGTGTGTGTGTGTGTGTGTGTGTGTGTGTGTGTGTGTGTGTGTGTGTGTGTGTGTGTGTGTTGTGTGTGTGTGTGTGTGTGTGTGTGTGTGTGTGTGTGTTGTGTGTGTGTGTGTGTGTGTGTGTGTGTGTGTGTGTGTGTGTGTGTGTGTGTGTGTGTGTGTGTGTGTGTGTGTGTGTGTGTGTGTGTGTGTGTTAGTTATTAACTACATGGCATGGCGATTTGTGTGAGAAGGGGTTCAAAATGTATGTGGAATATAGATCAAAAGATTTTAATTAAAGCGTTAAAAACTTTATAATTGCAGTTCTTTCACACACAATACATACACATATTGTTGAGGCCTGGTTAACCCGACCACGGTTTTGCGTTCAGTTAATATTCTAAAATAATT